CAGAGGGAAGGGAAGGGAAGGGAAGGGAAGGGAAGGGAAGGGAAGGGAAGGGAAGGGAAGGGAAGGGAAGGGAAGGGAAGGGAAGGGTTCCATTTTGGGACACAGTGAGATTAAGTGTACTCTCAGCAAGTTTGCTGGTCACACTAAGCCAAGTGGTGCAGTTGATACAAGAGAAGGAAAGGATACCATCCAAAGGGACCTGGACAAGCTAAAGAAATGGGTCCACATGAGCTGAATGAGGTTCACAAGGCCAAGTGCAACTTGCGGTACCTAGGTCAAGAAAATCTCAGACATGAGTATAGAGTGGAAGAAGAACACCTTGAGAGAGGCTCTTTGGAGAAGAATTTGGGTGTTCTGATGGACAAAAGGCTGGACATGAGTCAGCAATGTACCCATGTCCAGCCCTGAAGGACAATAGCACCCTGGGCTGCACTAAAGCTTATGACCAGAGCAGTGCAGGACATGATTGTACCACTGTAGTCAGCCTTTCTGAGACCCCATCTGGAGTACTGCATTTTGGTGAAGACATGGTTTCAGGGACATGACTTAGTGGAGGGTTATTAGTTAGGGTATTATGGTTAGGTTGAGGTTGGACTCAGTGATCTTTAAGGTCTTTTCCAACCTGAGCAATTATATGATTCTATGATTTCAAGAAAGTCTGAGGAGTGGAGCTTGTTCAGTCTGGAGAAAAAAAGAATCTGGGGAGACCATCTAGTTGCTTTCAAGTACTTAATGGGAGTTTTTAAGAAGAGGCTTGCTTTCTACACAAGAAGATAGTGATAGGATAAAGCAGAATGGTCTTAAACTGAAAGAAGTGAGATTTAGATCGGATGGTAGAAGTAAATTTTTCCTCGGAGGGTGCTGAGGCAGTGTAACACGCTGCACAGAGAAGTCATGAAAGCCCAAACTATGGATATATTCAAATCTCTTAACAACTAATTCTAGTGGTTGCTAAATCTGCCCATGATCGTTTGTTTGGAGCTAGGCAATTTTTAATGTCAAGCCATTCTATGATTCTATAAAGATATTAAACAACTATCCATAGGAGGTCTCAGGGGAACTTACTGTAATTAATCACTCATAAATTAATATACAATTATCCTCTTTTTTGTGTATGACTGAAAGAATATTTAAACTTATGATTATGAGTTGAAGAACTGTGCACAGAATAGTGTGCTCTGATTTAATTATCAAATTTTGCACGTGTGTGAAAACTGGGTAATAGGTCCTGGGCCATAGGTTAACAAATCTGTCCAGCCATCCATAATTTAATTACTCAATCTCTAAATGGAAGCTTGATTTATTTCAGTGAGTGTAATAATAAGCACTTCAGAAACATAAGAAAAAGTTCTCCATGTGGTTTTTGTAGATAACTCCTTTCTTAAAAGAAAGGTGCTTTTTAAAGTAGTTTGTCTTCACAACAATAGAAACAATTTCTCCTGTTAAACCTCATGAAGAGTAAGCTTAATAAAGCATAATATTATTAAATTCTTTTTCAGCATAGAATGCCAAAATTTATTGTAGGGTGTTTCAGATAATACATATTTTGCAACTATGAAATGGAATAAGTTGTTCAACATGCAAGACTTTTGCTACTATATGTGCCACTCTGTTCATCTGGTCTTCTAAAATGCATGGTTTAAGTTTCTTTAATGCATATGGCCTATTTGAACTGCAACTGAAATATCTTCTATAAGCTGAATTCATCACTATTAACTACATGCTATTGACATTCTTGCTGGGTAGTTGACATTTGGCGATGGGGAGCGTGGGTAAACTACTTGTCATTAAAATAGTGCTCTTTGTGCATCAGTTATTTTAGATTATAACAAATACTAAGGGTGATCCTAGTGTCACCCACAGAAGAAGGATCAAAGTATTTATGTAAATTTTAACATGTGTGGCAATTACTGGCTCACATTCCTTTTCAGAATTAAAATACTAAGCATTTTATAATTTTACATTTATTTATTATGTAACTGTAAAGAGATAATGAGATTTGGAATTGTATTTAACTATATATTATTTATTTACTTACATTCTTCAAAGTAATTTTCATACCAGAAATTGAAATAAGAATCAATCGAAAAGGAACATGGCACACAACTAAGATTTATGAGGTCTTATCTTCAAATCCTCTTATAGTTTTTTTGCTCTCCTTAGCTCTGCTTTTCACTTCGTCTCTTTCATATCACCAAGCAACAAAAGGATCACTTGATCATTTTAGGTAAGTTATTTTTACTGCTTACTGATAATTCATTGTGTGAATATTCATTCTCTTTAGCATAACGTTTTTTAACGATAGGGGATATAAAACAGATCATAGGAGGAAATTTAAATGACTATTATTTAGTTTATTTATTATTCTTGTTATTATTATATCTGTTAACTACTTCAGCAATAGTGGGACTTATCACTGTCTTCATTATTGCTAAAGATAAGCTATTTTTTTGTTCATAGAAAAGCCACGCATGTCATAGGCCCTTTTAACAAATTTCGTGTAACCTTTGGACTTCCTTCTACTCAAGCCATCTCTCAGGTCTTATCTTTCCTGTATGAGAACTCACTCTGGCTGGTATTTAGTAACATGTGAAAAGGAAAGCTCTCTAACTGAGTCTTGATGGAAATAACATAAATAATAATGTACAGCTTTATTAAAAATAAATTACTGATGCCTTGTAAATTTACTGACAAATAGTAAGAAACATCTTAAGATATTACCTTCATCACGTAAATAGTAAACTGGTTGGCACATCATACTGAAAGTGTGCTCACACGCTCCTTGGATGAGGAGCTCTATATATTATATAGCTAAGATAAGAACTCAGCTTGCAACCTATATTGTTAGTAATGATCTTTACTCAATCACTGAGAAAAAAAAATCAAAAACTATATTATGCATATACAAGCACTTTTGAGAAAATAAGATGTTTAGAAACACTGAGATTAGAAATGTGTAGTTGCACAATCTATCAACAGTATAGATTCTAGTTAATATGGTTCTTCACTTCTTTTTTTTCATAGAAATCTTGTTATTTGTTTTGTCTTTTTATTACTTTTCATTTCTATTACCTGCAGTAATGTCGGTCAGTGGTTTTCCTGGCTTATGAATACTGATTTTAACTTTCCCATCACTCAGATAAATGAAGAAACCACCTGAAGCTTCTTTCACTTTACTAAATACGAGAACTCCTTCACTGTTCCAGGTGCGAAACTGGAAACTTATAGCTAGTTCTTCTTGCCCAGAAATTCCAGGCAGAGCCAGGTAACTTCTGGAGCTGAGAAATGTAACTGGAACCACCTTTGGCTCTAAACACAAGAAGGACATGTTGCCCTAGAAAGAAATTAAACAAGTATGATATTAATAACAGTTGGTGAAAACCAGAATAAAAACTTTTGTTTGGAAACAATGTCCTTCATAGAACCTAATGCTTAAAGCTTTTGAATGTGCTAATCTAAATATCAAGTATATGAGAAAATGTTTGGGAAACATTTACCTAATGATTTGACAAGAACATCTTCCACTGCAAAGTGCAGTAAGAATCTGTAAGTGAATATTGTCTGATTCTATACCTTGTGCTTGATTGAAAAATACTTCAGGAGTTGAACAGATTCACTGAGAGAGAAAAATATATAGTGTTTTACTGGACCAAGGGACATTTTTTCTTATTCAGTGCAACAGAAGGTTTCACTGAGTATTAGTTTTCACAAATAACCAGAGAAAGTTCCACATGGAAACTACTTAGAAATATGAAATACGTACTTTAGAAAACAAAAGGACTATTTATAATATATATAATTTTATTTCCCAGTGAGCTTGTCTGAACAAGATTATGAGTTGTACTTAGGCATCTAATCTTCATTTTATGCTTAAATAGTTCTGAAAACATGGTTCCCAAATAAAGCTGAAAATGGAGAAGAGAAGTCTCCAGGGAGACCTCATTGTGGCCTTTCAGTATTAAAGCTGGAAGCATATAAACAGGAGGGAGTACAAATGTTTACAAGAGTGAACAGTGATAGAATAAGGGAGAATGACTTTAAATTAAGACAGAGGAGGTGTAAGTTAGATATTAGGAGAAAGTTTTTCACTCAGAGAGTGGTGATGCACTAGAACATGTTACCCAGCGAGGTTGTGGATGCCCCATTCTCGGAGGCATTAAAGGGCAGGCTGGATGTGGCTCTGGGCAGCCTGGTATAGTGGTTAGAAACCCTGCACACAGCAGGTTGAAATTAGAGGATAATTATGGTCCTTTTCAACTCAGGCCATTCTATGATTCTGTGATTCTATGATATGATATGCTAATTGAAAAATTCTGAGATTTAGCTGTAACTGCACCTGTGGTTTTACTAAGTGAGATAAGGATACTGCAACAGAAATAATGTATTTTTTGTATCTGCCATTGTATTTGGTTCATACTTTATGACTCATGATAATGATATAATTTGTTATTTCACCTTGTGATTCACTGTCATTTGAACTAATTTGTTATGTGCAGTTGATTACAAAAAGGATAAATGTCTTAAGATTTAAAAGTACATTTAATTATTTCAGCACAGAAAGCTTTAAAATTAATGATTGTACATAAAACTTTGACCTCAGAGTACAAAACTATAGAATTGTTTACCAGCCTGTTATGGCCAGATATTAAAGTTCATCTGTTTTCATTTCTTCCAGTGAAAATATATGAATAAATAAAGGTTCTGTTTTATGAACTCAGCTATAGATATACGAATGATCAGCTGAATGGACCCATAGTGAAAAAGCAGGTAGAACATTGAGAAAATTTGTTAAGTGCTAAAATCCTACCATATGCAGATTCCTCCTCCACAGTATTGCAACGGTTGCCTGATAGATCGCAGAGTGATTATTTAGCATGGATTCTTTCTGGAACACTTGTATTCAAAAAATATGCTAAATAATAATTCCATTTTTCCCAGTTCACATAGAACCTTTGCAGAATCTACCATCATCATGAGCAGGATTCTGTACAGAGGTATCAAATTAGATTATACTGGAATATTTCCAGTGAGAATCACAAAGAAGGAGGTACCTGACATTCATTAGAACAAATTATCATATCTGATTGTTCACATTCTGAACTGAAATCCAAATCAAATTATTTGGAGTTAAAAAAAAGATAGAATTTCATATTTAGTTATTTGAGCTTTGTTTCTATTATAACTCTGCAATTGCTGGCTGTTAAAAAAAAAAAAAAAAAAAAAAAATTGCTAATGGAGAACATTCCTGTACTATTGAAAAAGAAACAAAAGACACTTTCTGCAACAGGAGGAAGATGCTTAGTTATTGAAACCGCTTATCTAAATGGTTTGTCTTTACACTGATATGTGTCTTTACACTAATACTTGTTGGCACTGTCACAATATATGCATTAAATCCCCCAACATAAATTACTGCTCTCCAAAAAATGGACATTATAAATTAACTAGTAGAACTTAAGTATGAAATTATAATGTTCTAGAGAAAACAGTTTGGATCAGCAACCTCAGGAATAGACAGCTTTCAAAATATACTGCTTGTGTTTTTACTAGTCAGGTTCAGAAGTCAGTACCAGAACCTGGATAATTTCAGATACTTCCTGCTTCACTCCCTTCCCATATGTGCACAACAGGGAGGTACCATACAATTCTAAGATCTCACACACATATATGTCATGGTTTTCTGATTTTTATTATCAGTATTCCACATCATAACATAATATCATAACAACATGTAAAGCACTGGGAGTTAAAGAGTTAATGCCCAATTCTGTGGAATGCCAATTTTCTGAATAGCTGGCTCTCAGAAGAGAAGAACTAACATACCCCAGATGACTTCATGTTCTGTGGGTCTGCTTTTCCCCTGTCATGGGCACAGATATATCTAGATAACTCTGTGACAATATAAATACTAGCTACGACCTGAAAATAGAATGTGTTCTTCTTTGTCTGTGAGATGACTATCTACAGCAGCAGTGATTTCTTGATTTTACTTCACACAACAGCACAGATCTTATTATAACTCTGTATCAGTGGGTTAAATATGAAAGTGATTATGATCTTTTTTTTATTATTATTATTGGTATCATTGGTATAATTATTTGTACAAATCTCTTACCACAAAGGAGATTTGAGATTTACGCCTTCTGGCCAGGTCAATGACATTCACTCCATTATAGTATATATTTTCAAAACACCCATGAAAGTTTCTCCGTGATCCTGATTTCTCAGACACTGGGATCCCTCCAAAGCTGAGCTTAGAATGATAAATCAATAGTACTATTAAGTTATGTTCTAAATTTTAAAAGTTGCCAATAATGTAAGAGACAAAGACATAGATTGGCCCATACTGAATCACTACCTCTTGACTATTTATTTGTATGACAAATAAAAATCATGTTAAAAGAACAGGGTAATAAAACTTTAATTAAAATAACAATGTATTGAATGCTATTAGGTGAAAAATTTATCTGTCTAAATAAGGCATTGAGGGATAAACTATTACAATATAACATATTTTTACAGAAAAGCACTGCCACAAGAGTGACCTGAGTTATATTCTGGCAATGTGTTCACTCTTGGTCACCATCAGAAATAAGATATAAGCTAAGGCATACTTTTTAACTAACATATTCCAGAGATACTGTTTTTGACATTCAAAAGGATGGTCTGCTTAAGCCAAATCTTTTTATTCTGTAGTATCATTTAATCTTTGAATTCAGTTTACATACAGGGAAAAATTATTTCAACCACAATATAAAAAAAATTGAGTTAACAAATTCAGAATTTTTTATAACCAAGAATTCAATTCTTAATATAGCAATTCATAGTCTCTTGGTGGTTTTCATACTTCTGTTCTTGTTTTTGCTTTCCTTTCTATCTTATGCTGACAACACTGGAAGAGAGGAAGAATGATTCTGTAATAAACGTTCATTTATATTGCTTGTCCTGAAAGTAATGACTTCTATATATTTCTGTTAAAACTACAACAGATACAAAGAGTACAATAATAATACTCAATAAATGCATCACTCATTGCCTCACTGTGCTAACATCCCCTGTTTGGTCTCCATAAGCACTCAGTAAGTGTCCATGAATGTCTTCATTTTTTCTCTTGTGGAGAAATTCAGTGCCATACCTTTCCTTCATCTGCACTTCCATGTCAGACAGTTTGATCAGACTGCTCCTCTGCTGCCATCTGTCACATGGCAACAAAATGTAGTTAAATATTGGTGGGAAGGGTCAGCCTCAACTGACACCATTCACTTCTGGTATTGAGTGCTAACATAATAAAATAGAAGGCATTACATTCAGAGCAGCCTTCATAGTAAAATAAATCTATTTGCCAATTAATGAAAACCAGCAAGTATTCCTAATTAGTTATTTCTTTAAGTATGATGATTCAAGTCTTATTATTTTGGCTTAGTTTCAGAAATTTTAATTTGAACTTATTTCTTCAATCTTGTGAGAGATGGATAATGAAAACATGGAACAGTATATCTTTCTCTTAGCTGGTTAAGATCTTGAATGGGTAGAATGAAATAATTTAGATATGCAGGTTCAAGTCAATCTTCTGTGTCATCCTCTCCAATGAACAGAAAAGTAAAAATGTAATTCAGTCAGTCTCCGTAGTAGAAAATGAAATATTGGTTTATTAACCATAAGCTGTAAATTTTCACTGCAAATTATGTCTATTTCTTTCCATGCATGTACCATATGTGAAAAATATTTTTTTGACCGTGCATTTCCCAGATCTAACAGGAATATAAGTTTTGCCTTAAACATTTCTGTCACTGTTTTACTCTGATTTTTCTTTTAAAATAATTTTATCCTATAGTAAAACAATTTGGACTGGGGCTAGTTAGCTAAGTTTACATATTGCTTAGTACTTACAGGAAAGAAAGCATTTGAATAAATTAATTCTGAGAGGAAAAATCAGTTTATTAAAAATGTGTGCTGCAACATTCAGAATTTAAGAATACTTCTCTGTTTTATTACTTCAGGAGACAGAAAATCCTTGAAATCTGAAGCACTAAACTTCCTTGATTTCTCCCCCTTTTGGATGTTTGTGTTGCTTTTTGTTCTTTGTTTAATTTGCCTAACAAAGTTAATAAATGTAATAAAGAAAAGATAATTTTCACACCTCATAGTCAAGGTCCAAATAACTGAATACTTCCTTAGCATGAAAATGATGAGTGTGTTTATCCACTGTAAAGTTTACTTGATTGTTAAAGCGCTCAATGAGAACAGAGTGCCAGTGTTGATCATCCAGAAGACTGCCCAGGGAAATATTAATTTGGGTACTAGAAGAATGAGTTTTATAGTCACCTCGAGAGAAGAAAAACAAGAAACTATTAATTTCACATAAAAATATTCAGAAATATGCTGCTAGTTTATCTTATATTTTTAAGTCTGCTTAACAAACAAAAATAAACCCTAGTCAAATAATATTTAATAACAATATTGGAATTTCTGAGACTGTAACTATTACCTAAGTTAATGAGTAGGGATAGCGTTCCTTTAACTAATTCCAGGATTATGTGATCTCCATTCTTTCCTTCTTTGTGGAGGAGAATTCCATCACTTTGTATTGCTTTAAACTTCAGAGAAATCACATCTTTCAATGCAGACATAGGCTCCTGTTTAAATGTGTAAATTAGGCAGCTTTTCCCATCAAAACCGATCACTTCGGACTCTAGAAGTAAAGAAATGAAAAAAAAAAAAGAAAAAAAAAAAAGTATAATGGCAAGTCTAAAAGAAACAAGCATTACTTCAATATAATATAAGGTCTGTTAATATTTCAAGATTAATTTGTGCTCAGGAAAGTGTATTATGTTTCTTTTGTTCCCATTCCTCCTTTGATGAAGAACTCACATGCTGAAAATTCTTCTTGACCTTTGAGACACAAAGTACTTTGTTTCTGCTTATATTGTATTTTTAGAGTGAAAATCTCCATTAATTTATCTGCAGTTTATTCCAAATAACCAAATAATAAATAATCATAAAATGAAAATCCAACTTCTATTATATTTCATTAATTTTTAGGGCCTTCATGGAAGGAATGGATTTGAGCAACTTTTGAGATTAATCTAAATAGCTACATAGTGTAGCAGCGGAGCTCTTGGATGATTATAAGGCATTCCCTGTAGAGATCAGGGGACAGGGACCTGTTTGGGTTCCTTTAGATACAAAGGCAGTACCTCGCCTCGCTGAGACAATAGGGAAGAAGGGTTTACGATCGCCCGCTACACTCTCTGCACTGGAGGCAATTATGGCTCCTGGGCCTTTGCTTCCATACGATATAGAGGGTCTCATGCAGGTGATACTTGAGCCAGCACAGTATATGTTATGGAAGGAAGAGTGGTTGGCACAGCTCAGGGCTGTAGTCGCAGCAGCGACACGTAACCCACAACACCCAGCAAATGGTAGGGAACTGGGAGAGGTAACTAATCTGACACGGTTGTTAGGGTATGGGGAAGGCATGATAGGTCCCCTGAGGGCCAGTTCAGACGCCTTCGCCCAGGAGAGCTGACGGCGGCCACAGAAGCAGCTCTGACAGCCTTCAGAAGGTTCTCCAGGACAGCTGAACCTTCTGCTCCCTGGGCAGAGGTAGCCCAGGGTCCATCTGAGTCATTCTCGGATTTTGCCAATCAATTGATTCGGGCAGTAGAAGGCTCAGATCTGCCAAAGATTGCCCATAATGCAGTAATCATGGATTGTCTTAAACAGAAATCACACAAAAATGTTAAGGATCTTATTCGAGCCGCTCCTGACGACCTCAGTACTCCGGGAGGTATCATTAGGCATGTACTGGAGAAACAGAGAACAACGCCCCTCACCAATGAGGGATTAGCAGCAGCGTTAGTAGCAGCGATGGCCATGAGGGAAGATCAGAGTAGGGGACCGTGTTTTAAGTGTGGACAGTTGGGTCACTTCACAGCCCAATGCCGAGCCCCTGGGAGACAGAAAGGGGAAGCAGGGCCAGGCCAGACTTGCCAAGCCTGCGGGAGATCAGGCCACACTGTACGCCAATGTTGGAAGTTTGTCATAGTGCTGCAGGGAAACGAGGATGGGAGGGTGCCTTAGGCCCAGGGCCCCTCCCCCGGAACACCAAATGGGCCAGACAATGCGGCTCTGCCTACCCAAGGTCGGGGTCCCGTACCTCAGTGAGCCCCTCGCCCACAGTGGCGTTAACCATGGGAATGGGAGAGCGCTCCTTGGGCAGGATCATGCTTACTTGTGCGGGGAGTGTACTTTCTTGCAGGTCCCCTGAGGAAGAGAACACCGTAAATATGCCCTCAGCTATGACTACTGACTACTAACATCTCGTCAGCACCTTCGGCATCCCACTTCACCCCCCCCCCCACGGCTTCAGCTTCGCATGAACAAGTAGAAGAAGGCGTTCAACTGTCTGCGCTTTTGTCTTGCAAAACGGCTAAAGTGCAGGAATGCAAGGTCGTTGAAACCCCTCCGCTGTATCCACAACCACTGTCTCTGTGTAATCTGCCCCCTGCGGGGGCAGGGGGAGAAGTGAGCTGGGATGGGACACTTACTGTCTCCTCTCAGGAGGTGGAATGCAGTAACACCCAGGGGGGTGGGAACTGCGGGCAAGGCTCGGGTACGGATTGGTCAAAAGTTAAGGAGGTGGTAGAAGAAAATACAGCAGAGAGAAAGGGAAGCGATGTAAGTTACAGGTGCTCGGATGATAGTGTACGGCCAGCACTGTCCACCCTGACTGCACCTGAAGGTGTAGGTGGCGTCCGGCCAGCACCCTCTGCTCAGGTTACACCCGATGGAGAAAGAAATAACGATAGTCTCCGGACTCACTCTCTGTCACAGTGTTCAGACCCATTGACTCGACCCACACATCCTTTTACAAGATTGAGTGCGCATGCAACCAATCAGAAGCCTCTACAACAGTCAGTGCATGATCAAAGGGAGATGGGCACAGTGGGAGCGGTGCGGAGCCCTCAGGTTCCAGCTGTGACTGAAAAGGATAGCAAAAGGAGAGAGGTGAATTTGCATTTGGGAGTTAAGAGAGATGCACTAACAGATTGTGGGAAGTTTAGATCTAGCCTGATAAAGGAAGGAAGAGCACTAGAGACCTTCCTGATAGTAGGGAATGATAACAGAGACCCAGAAAGGGTACCCCTTGATCCGAAAGGCATCACACACCTGATAGATTGTGCAGAGAAACGGGAATTAAAATCACTCCTCGCTTTAAATGCATTAGAAGTCCTGACAGCATTAGGCCTTCTCTTTCAGCATGTAACAAATCTGATGTGCATGGTGCTTAAGCCAGTGCAGTATGCACTGTGGGCATCAGAATGGGTTCCCTTCATGGACAGGTGGCCAGATTGAGGCCTGGAGAACAAGCAATTCCATACAGCTGGTTTGTGAGAGCAATGCTCTCAAGGCTTGAGACATCTGCCTTGATATTGAACAAATGTTTGTTATTTTTGAGGTACACTCGAACAGTATTGTAGGATGTGGCTTTAATTATTAAGTGTCGGCGGCATCACATCAGTTTTGGCAGGATAATTACACGGTGATTAAAGACCTATAACCTGCTCCAAGTGGGATGAATCTCACTTTGGCTTACCAAGGAAGGAACTTGGTAAGGAAGCTTTTGCAACATGACGACCTGCACCAATTGCTGAAACGTGTCAGAGACAATGGACAGAAAACCTTGATCACCGTTCACCATGACACAGAAGAGATACATCGTGTCCTAGAGAGAGTAAAGAAGGACGGAGAACACCACTGGTGGGAAGTGCTTCTGGGATGGTCCCCCACAGCGACAGGGATATTTAACTCTGTACTGCATCTGGTCGTAGTTGCGTTAGGTTTAGCATTATGCTAGGCTGTTAGTGTAGAACTATCAGGCGCTTTGCGATATAACAGAGCAGGGTTTCACTGAGCATGGGAGAGATTTTGTGACAGGCAAAGAAGGCGAGAACTCGGGATGTGTCAGGATAGGACCTCCCCCTGCTCAGTGGTGTGAAACCTGCATCTAATTTGTGTATCTTGCTTCATCAACTGTCTGCAATAACGTTTAAGCAATCAATGCTTGGAATACCATAGGCTTCTCGAAAGATTGTAACAGGGTTCACGTATGTATTGTAACGGATGTTTAACTATGTTTAACTCTATTCTGTATTCAGTTGTAGTTGTATTAGGTCTAACATTAATATGCTTTACGCTTATAGTGATACTATATAGGTATATTGGTATATTACATAGATAACTATAGTGTATGCTGAGACGAATGGCTCATATGACAAATGCTAAGACGAACGAATCAGCATCATCTAAGAATGCAGTATATAGCTTTATGTAGAACTCACGCTTAAGACATTAGGATTATTAGGTTAATAGGTTATAGGGTTATTAGGGTAGGATTATTTGGTGCATTGCGATGTAACGGGATAACACTTAACTGAGAGGACAATGGCATGTATAGGCATAATGCGGGGATTTCGGGGTGTACACGATTAGGGTCCTCTCAGGTTATAGTAGATTGGCCTGTGCTTAGGGAGGGGGAAATGTAGTTAACTGAATGGGCTGGGGCAGTCGCCAGGGGCCCCTCGGCCCCTGGGAAACCATGGCAACAAATGTCTTGAAGATAAGAGAGAAGAACAGGTGAGACCAAATAAGGAGGAAACAAGACATGCCACATGTCCATTGGTCAGAGATAATGGTAGTAGCCCTAAGGCGTGGGGAAAGTTTTAAGAAGGATGTGCTCCTTGCAATTAACACCATTTTGCCGCTCACCATATTGGTGTCATGAAAAGTGTGCGAAACTGACCAGTGCTGTCGGAACACTTTCACAAGGAGACTTCAGTCAGGGTCGCCGAAACAAAGGCAACAACATAGTAATTAAAAATATTATTATCATAAACCTAATAATAAAAATATTTTGAAATGAAGGCCTGTCTGTCATGAGTAGGACCTTGTACTCTTCATCAAATGTTACTTTACTAATGTCATAAAGAAATTATAATTTTGATTAAGCTGATTTTAGAGCTGGAATACATGTTTAAATTACTTTTTCTCAGTAACTGTCCAGGATGGGAGTAAAGTCATAGAAATATAGAATGGCTGATGTTGACAGATACTTCTTGAGGTCATCTCATGCAAATTCCCCACACATTTGTGCATGTTTATTCAGGGCCATTTCTAGTGAAGTTTTAAATTATATCAACAATACAGTCTCTACAACTGTCAACACTGGCAACCAATGGCAATCCAAACAACATCACAGTAATAAAACTTTTCTAATATCTGAGTGGAATTTCTTGTGTTTTGGTTCATGCCCATTTGCTTTATTGCTGACAATGGACAACACTAGATCGAACTTGGCTCTGTCTCATTAAATATTTATACAGATGGATAAGACACCTCCTTGATCTTTTCTATTTCCACTTCCAGATACCTTACTCCGTTGCAATATTCCATTGACAAATATCCAAAGTTCAAGCGTAAACCTCTAAAATCAGAAATTCTGCAATTCTATAATTCTATGATTCTATGTTAAACAGTAAACAGTATCAACCAAATACTGCAGGCCTCATCAGTTGAAAGCCATGGAGATCTTCAAGAGATTTAGCAAAGTCACATGCAAGCCCTGGGTTGCAGCAACATCTCACTACAAGTACAAACTGTGAGAAAAAAAGGATTGAACACAGCTCTGCCAAAAAGACCTTGGGGGTTCTGGTGAATGTCAAGCTGGACACGAGCCAGCAATGTGCCCAGAGTACAGCTTGGATAATGAAGCACTCAAACAGGATAACCAGAGAGGTGGTGAGTGCCCCAGCCCTGGAGACATTCAAAGACAGTCCGGATGGGACTCTGAGAAACATAGTCTACCTGTAGATGACCTTACTCCTTTAAGGGAAATTTCACTAGAAGATCTTTAAGTCCCCAGCAAGCAGTTTACCAAAATCAGCAGTAAGGAAAGACGGGAAGACACTCGGGATATCTTGATTCTGTATTACAATACACAAATTAATTAAAAACTCCTATGTTTAAGAGATGCATACAGAACAGCAATGAGGAGTATTTATTATTATTATATGAATATAGGCTTACTGACCTATTCTCTTACATTTATGCTTTCCATATTTGATGTTAATGTTCACATACTTTCACTTTACTTGAAGAAAAAAGAAGTGATTTTAGCCAAGTGATGTAAAAAAAATGATAAAAATCCATCAAAATCATTAATGATTGGACAATACACATAGAAAGAAGCTGATATCCTTATAAAAAGGTCATTAAGTATTTGCAGTTCATAATTGAAGAAGAAAAATGCCACTGCACTTGAAAGTTACATTTTGAAGCAAATGAAGATGTGAAGGACACTCATTAAAACACTAAGTTATTTTTCATCTGAATGGTTTTCTTTCAAATCAGTGGAAATCAACTATTTATTTACTTATTTTATTTAAGTGAGATCATTTTAAAATCATTTTTACTGCTTTTCTTTTAGCTGTATAACATGCACCAAATAAGACTGAAGGAAAGAACTATTACGTTTTCACTTTAATAGCGGACATAGTCCATATATTCAGTTGAATATATTCCATATGTTCAGCTCTAAATGAGGAGAGACTTTGTTACTTTTACAGTAGAACCCAGTGAGATCTCTCTGAAACATAGACTGAGAAACAAAAAAACAGGAAAGTCTGAATCAAAGTAGATATCTCTTTCTGTTTTTCCTTATTTTCTAGTCCCACATGGAATTATATTAAGGCATAATTAGAGTAGCATTAACAAAATGTGTCCTGAATGTGTCTTATAGGTGGAGAAAAATCTGGAGAGTAAGAATTCCTCTTTAATTTTATTAAGTACATTTTTAAGCTAAGTGATGATAACCTACAGGTGTATTTTCAATAGCAAACACTAAATCCAACTACTGTAAGCACATGATTTTTATTTATGCTTTAAATAAAGCAAGCTGACAAGCAGTCTGCAATTCATTTGAATTCAAGTAGTTAAAAAAGAAAAAAATCAAGACTACACCACATCATTAATAGAGAGAAAAATTTAATTGGCTTAAAGAAAGCTTCTGCATTTGTAACAATTTGAAATTCTTTAATTGCTTTTCTAGAGTGCATAATAGATGAAGTAAAAATGCTTTCTTAATTTAAACTAATCTTAGACGAAAAAGGAATTATAATTAATTTGCTTCCATGAGTTATCAATAGAATAATTTGCTTACCAGATAAATAAAATACAGAAAGAAAAACATTATCTTCTTCTAAAGTAGTTCCTATCTATCCTCAACACACACACACATACATGAATTATGTAAGTCCTTGTTGTATAACTCTCATAGTTTTTCCTGACATGGATGCTGTTTTGTTTTTTGCACAATAATTGTACATTTTCCATTGGTAGGATGCTATAGAGATATCACAGAAAAAGAGGCATAAGATGTAATATCAAAATGTAATAGAGAAAACTACAGGAGTGGAAAGTACTACAAAAATCTTGATTCCAGGAAGGTGGAAAATGTGAGTTTCAGTTTGGGAATATTTTGTGAGCAAGAGTTTCGGTATGGATGTAAATGTCTCTAAATACCTAAGGTAAGGTCTAGGAATAAATGAAGCTGATTGTACATTAGCAAAGTGCAATGACAGGAAAAAAATCTGTCATATCAGAGAAGAGATAAAGGGTCTCAGATGAGTTTTCAGCTGAAATGAAAGATTCCAGTCACCTACTCAGTCTCATTTTAGTAGTCTTGGTGCACAAAACTGTGGAGGGCAATTTGAATTTGGCAGAATTTCTCAGCTAAAACAGGATTATTGGATTGTCCTAGGAACAAGTAATATTTCCAGTCTCCAGAAAGACATCTCTGAGAAGTCTGATTTTTCTATCCTTCTCCAGGCATAAGACCTCTGCTGTCTTCTGAGCCTACACATCTAATTTCTGAAATGACCTAATCTCCTACTGTTTGAGAGTTTCAACATCCTCTGATCATATCTCTTTAGTCATTTTACAAAGCTGCATTAAAAGAGCTTTTCTGATATTAAATTGAAAGTGATAGATCTCATACTAATGAGCAGATGAAAGGAGAATTACATGGAGAATATTCAGAATAGACTAATGAAGAAGAGAATGACTTAAATGTGGAAGTTGACATCGAGAACAAAGAAAGGAAATAAAATAATCAGTTAAAATTTGCTTAAAACTGAAATATTTAACAAACATCTTGCTAAGATACGTTCTTTCTGAAAGTCTAGGAATGAAGAAGTGTAATGGGTAGACAGCAGGGAAAGTTATACTGTCCAGTAAATCAATGTAACTATAACAGCTATACCTTTACTTGTTAAATGTATAATTAGTTACTAATATTTTTAGTGAAATAAAAGCTATGCTAAATGTACCACTTGAACAAATAACATATTTGAAATATATTAAAAATATGCTATACTTCTTAGTACATCTCCTCTCCTATCAGGATCAGGGTTATATACATTCAAACCTAACTATTTTCCACATTCTTCCCTTTAGGGAGAAAGCATCATAACAAGATACAGTTTCTAAAAATATCATGTAAAGAGTTTGTAGCAAATTAGTAAGTACGTCCATGCCGTTAATTCCAACAGGGAAGAAGCTGGAAAATATGCATAAGTTGCTGTAAGGGAATGCAGGAAAAACAACAACGAACAACAACAACATATTCAATATTAAAACTAAGCTTAGAAATCTTTTAACTGTAATTCAGATAGTAAAAGACCACAATGGAAAATTGTTTAATTTAGCTGATTCAGCAAAACACTTACTGTATGTGCATCCGTACACTTCAATGCGCATGCCAATTCTTCCATTGGGATTCCAGTCCAAGGGCACAAAGCGGAGAAATCTTGCTTTAATGGAATGCTGAAGCTTATAATATACAACACTGTCTGCATTTGTGTTTCCAGAAATGGCCTACAAGAAAATGAAAAATTGAGTTATTTGAATTCATATTGAATACAAAAGCAGCATTATTGAACTGTACAGGAATAAAATGTTCAGAGAATTCACAGGAATAAAATCTGATTCCTTCTGATCAGCTGTCTATTTAGTATTGATATCACACCCATTAATTCGCATAAAAATTCTAAAGTTTATGAGAATGAAATACCATTTCCCAAAAGAAATACACCTTTCCAAATTGCATAAAAAGCCCTGGCATAATAGAGCAACTCTATGATTTGCTCTTACCTAAAGGTCATCACAATTTCATTAAAATCTAAAAGATGGAGTTTGCTGAATCCGAGATGTTCTGCTTATAATTGCAGGCTGTGATGTGCAAAGACTCTGGCTTAGACTTTGATTTCCATAATGAAGCAAAAGGACTGTAAAAAGGTTTTAACTTAGTACTCGTATTTATAATTCAATGTTTTCCCAAAGGGAGAGAACAAGAAGTCTTACTGTAGAAAATATTTTGGCTGTATTTAACAGATAAGATTGATTTTACCTTTTTTATACAAAGTAAAGAAGATTAATATTAAGGAAAGATAACAATACAAAAATATAAGAAATTGTAATCATGAACTTTAGTAATATCTTGAAGAATATATAATATCTTTGATTTTGCTGGTTACATTCAGGCATGCTTTTTTGTTGGTGGTGTTTATATTGTTAAGTTGGCTTGGTTGTTTGCTTGTTGTTGGTTTGTGCTTTTGTTTTTGTAGTAGGTTTTTGTTTTTGGATGTCAGGGTGTTTGTTGTTTGTTTGTTTTGCTTGATTTTCTCATTGCCTATCTGTTATATGATGAGCAGAAAGAATTTGTATTAAAATTTGTGGGGTTAAAGTATCTGATAAACAGAAACAATTATCTGAATTTTTTGATAAACAGGAATAAAAATGATCACATGCTTCAATGTATGTATACAATATTGTCCCTAGAGAAATTAGCAATAGAATTTGTGACTGCAGAAGTGTATAGAAACCAACAGGTCCATGTTCACTTTTTATGCAGTTTTCCAGAGTTCCAGTAGTGGAACTCTGTTTCATTTCATTCATTATGTACCTCCCTTATGTGAATCTGTCTATCTTTTTTGTACTTCTAAAATTCTTACAAATTTTTATCTCTAAGCGTTCAACAGAAAAAAAAAAAAAAAAAAAGAAAAAAATAGCTAGTGAACAGTCTCATTACAGCTAAACTATGAAACTAATGAGAAGTAATTGAGAGTCACTCAGAATATTTACATGACAGCTTCATGTTCTATTATTTTGCTTTCATGGCGAGCAAAGCTAGAAACGCTCTATAACAAACACCAGAGAAGGCCTACTGCTTCAAGGGTGAGTCCCATTCAGGCTTCTTAAACCTTTAAATCACTATCTGTAGTTTGTAATAAATGTAACTGCCAGTGTAACTGCCTGTTAAACTGTAGTCTGAACCAGAATGAAGAACTGAGAAACTCAAATATTCTGAGCAAATGAAGTGTCTGATTAAGATTCCAATTTTTTCCAAAATCATTTTCAGAAGTCAGCCACTTCATGAAAATTATGGAAGACTTGAAAACAAAATGCATTTTGACTGATTTTTACTGCACTGTATACTCGTGTTTTGTGTGTTTAAAAAATATGGTTTTACTTCAATAATAGTCTATAAGTAACTAAAACTACTCCTTAAAAAATTAAAAGCAGATAATTTATAAATCAATAATTTTATTATATCAAAGAAACTTTGAATGGTTTGGTTTGCAAAGGACCATAAAGAGTATGTAATTCCAACCTCCCTGCCACAGACCAGGAAGCCAACCGTTAGATCAGTTTGTCCAGAGCCCCATTCAACCTAGCCTTGGACACCTCCAAGGATGGGGCATCTATAACTTCTCTGAGCAGAAAGAGTCAGGAAGGCAAGAGAAATGCCAGTAGGCTACTGATAATTTCTCTCATACTGTTAGTTTAAAGCACCATCCAGAACTATCCAAAAGTCATTTTTCTCCATAATCCTTGAGCTATTTTTATTATATTAACTGTTTAGATCTCTACAACAAAATGGTTGTCTGCTCAAGTCAATATAACACGCAGTGCAATTAACAACAATGTCAATACAATATTCAGTTTAAAAGAAACATTTGATCATTAATGATCCTTTTATGTTCCTTTCAACTCAGGGTACTTTCATTAATCCCATTAAACTTTGTGAAGTTATTGTCAATGGTTATTTTCATCTTGATTCTGAAAGTTGAGAATAACTGAGGAGAGAATAACTGTTTCGTTAAAATAAAAATATGTGTACGAAAATGTCCTTTTTTCTGATTAGAAAGAAATGTACCAACCAATTGGCTTCCTTTACTTGATTCTTAGATTGGAATTATGGTTAGGAGGAAAGGACTGCTGTGGATGATACTTCCCTTCTGCTACACTCTTACGACTTCAAACATGAAGTATTGCATTCAGCTCTGTGCCCTCAACATGTGAGGAACATGTACCTGTTGGAGAGGGTTCAGAGGAGAGCCACAAGGATGACCAGAGGATGGGGGCGCTTCTCCTACAAAGACAGGCTGAAAGAATTAAATGTTTTCAGCTTGAAGAGCATAGTATTTTCCTCCCGTACTTAATGGGGACATATAAGAAAGCTGGAAAGGGAGCATGTTAGGGAATGTAGTGATAAGACTGAATATAATGGGATTTAAATTAATAAAACAAAAAATAGATTTATATAGCAAATAAATTCTTTATTATGAGAGTAGAAAGGTACTGGAGCAGATTGTCCAGGGAAGCTGTGGATGCCCAATCACTGGAAGTTTCCAAGGGTCTGGTGTCTAGCACTTTCACCCAAAAGGGAGAATTGGAACTAAGTGATTCTTCATGTCCCTTCCAGTTCAAGCCATTCTATGATTCTGTAATTCCATAAAATAATCAAAGATTCTTCAGATCATAATTAATGATTTAAGAAGACAATCACAGATTTGTTGGCTGTAAAATACTGTTAGTGGCATATTACTGAGGAATACTCTTCACAATTTACTTCATATTGCAGTAGGTCTTGTCTCTAAACCATTTGAACTTTATGTTGATATGTTGATAACACACTGATGTTCTACTTGTTGAGTTTTGCTCCACAGAGCCAAAGACATTTCATGTTTTCAACATATGACGTAGTGTGAAAAAAGCCCACAAAATTAAGGGGAGTTTGCTGGAAGAACAGCCTGTGACTGGGAACTGGCTGGACATCAGGAGGTGGGTGATAAGCTTTGTGCATCAATTCTTTTGTACACACATGAACACAAGCATATATATTTGTATATACACAATCACATATACACGAGGGCTTCTCTGAAAGTTGTGCTTCCTATTTTATTTTGTTGACCCATGAGCAGCATGTTGGTGATATGGCAGTAGAGGCTGAACCTTCCTGCCAATATTCCATTACATTTTGTTGCCTGCAGTAAACAGAGGGGCAGCAGAGGGACAATCAGTCAAAATGATGTCTGACATGGAAGTGCATATGAAGCAAAGGTGTGTCACTGAATTCCTCCATGCAGAAAAAAATGGCACCCATTGACATTCACTGACACTTGCTAAATATTTATGGAGACCAAACAGAGAATATCAGCACAGTGAGGCAGTAAGGGGTACATTTCACAGTGGTGGCAGCAACATGACAAGATGTTCTTGTAGGCCATATAGTTGCTGGCTTCTCTTCTCCATCTCTCTGATTAAGATTTGCAATAAACTGGTCGGATCAGCATTTGAACCATTGTTTCTTAATCTCACATCAGGTATACATATATCAAAGAACCTCCTCTCCCTCTGATAAATTCGAGGAAGACTGTTAAGCAAAACAGACCTGGCTGGCCTGAAAGGGTCAAACAGGGAACATGCGGCCCCTCCTGAAAGGGAAGGACTGTCATGTGAAACTGGCAAGCATAAGTTACAGCTTCTTCATTCCGTGACCAAGAGCAGAACATGTTCTGTGAAGAGAACGCCTTTTGATCATAATCCATAAAAGAGTTAATTAAGTAATGATGTATTGCTGTCAGCTGCATGAATGTTATCTGATTTAAGTATTGTATACTCCTGTAGCTAAAAGATATAAGAAGTCTGTAACAACAATAAAGATTGCTTTTGCGCCACCAGAGCCTTAAGCCCGTCTGTCCCAGGTGTCTTGAGCTGGTCTCCCTCAAGACACCATGAACAGCTGTAACATTATGAAATGAAGAGCATCTCAACCAGCTCATCAGTGTCGATCAACTGATGGTGGAAATCATGTTGAAAAATAATTGTAGCTGAGAAATTGCTCTATCAAATGGTATTGCTTCACTGTCTTTATATCTATTGAAGTGGAATATAAGTATATGTGTATGTATATATATAATAATAAAGTATAAATTTATACTTTATTATTACTGACATTTATTTTCCAGTATTCTCTTTACATGTCTGTAAGTAGTGATATTATACTTCATCGAAAATGTTAACCAACAAAACACATAATCTTCTAAAGAGGTATTTGCACATACATTGTAATTAACAAACAGAATAAATAAATAAGTAAATAAGTAAGTAAATAAATAAATAAATGAACCAGCCAAAAATCTACTGAAGACACTTATATAAATGTCAAAACACTGGGGGGAAGAAAAAAGTTGTCAGTATCAATAACTCTCAGGAAAATCCGAAGAAATCAAGACAGAAGCTCAGCACTCAGACAACAGTCAGGTTGAATTCCGATATAAAAAACTTCCTCCTTCTATACTCAAATCACTGCAGTTTTCACTAAGCATTTCTCTATTTAAACAGAAAGGTTTCTGTCACTGTGGCTTTTCCTAGAATGAATACTACATGAGTAAGTAAAAGCAAAAAGTGAAATTCGGGAAGTAATTTATTTAAATGAGAACGAGTCTGCAATAGAGAAGGTTAATATGTGCTTCATAGGACAAGGCACTGTCAGAAGATCAAGGGAGATGATCCTTCCTCTTTCCTAAGGA